AAGTGAGATAATACTGGCAAAGGGTTTAGTATAGTACCTGGCATATAGCAGGCTCTACATAAATGCTTGTTTCTTTCTCCTCATAGTTCTGTATATAAAGAAATATTTGTTAAATTTACCTTATTTACCCCACTCTATTCCTTAGACTGATCTAATGCAATGTGCATTACAAAGTGGATTTATTTTCTTATAGAGTAAAGATCTACTCTTAGGCTAAGAATTTATTTGGGACCCTGGAATTAGGAAGAGGTTTAGTAACACCAGAAAGGAATGTTTAACCTACTCTGAAGGACTGGGCAAGATGCTGAGAAGACTTCTCATAATAAAAGGTGACACTGAAGTGAGCAGAACCAGGAGAACATGGTACAAAGGAACAGTAATACTGTACAATAAAGAACTGTGAATGACTTAGCTCTTCTCAGCAATACAATGATCCAGGAGAATTCCAAAGGACTTGTGATGAAGCATGCTATCTGCCTCCAGAGAAAGAACTGATATTGTCTGAGTACAGACTGAAGCATGCCATTTTTCACTTTTTCTTTCATTCTTTTTTTTTTAGTCTTCTTGTACAAAATGACTAATATGGAAATATTTTACATGATTACACATGTATAAACTATATCTGATTGCAGATATTGCAGAGAGTGGGGAGGGGAGGGGAGGGGAGTAAGGAATGAGATAATTTAGAACTTTTTTTTTTTTAGGCAATTGGGGTTAAGTGACTTGTCCAGGGTCACACAGCTAGTAAGTGTCAAGTGTTTGTTCTGAGGCCACATTTGAACTCAGGTCCTCCTGACTTCAGGGCCAGTACTCTATCCACTGCACCACCTAGTTGCCCCTAGAACTCAACTTTTAAAAAAATGTTCAGAAAAAAGGGGAAATCTTATACATATATTTAAAAAATAATGAAAAGTGACAATGACTTCTAAGCATCATGTGATCCTTACAACAATCTGGTGAAATAGGTAGTCTTCTCTGGGTAATGTTTTGGAAAGTTCATGCCAGGAATCCCAGGAATCAAAGTCAAAAGTACCAAGCAGTTTAGCACTTAACCCTTTAATGTACATTAATTTCCCCAAATGGAATACAAATGACACAAGGACTACATTGTATGTTTCTTTCATATCCTTCATAGTTCCTAGTAGCACTGGGTACACAGCAAGCCCTTTTTAAATAATTTCTCAATCAATCAATGCACACAGTTACCACTCTATTCCTTAGCTCAACCTAAGTAGAATAGACTTACTTCCAGTAAATGGTGCTGTCTGAGAGAAAACAGAAGGAATGAATAGTACAACAAAACTAAAGTGTATTTTCAGCATGAATAAAACTGACGTTGGAAAAAACCCCACTTTCATATTTTCTGCAGTGTGGAAAAATCACTACATACTTTCTTTCCTTATAAAAGGATCACCCAAAATTCCTCTAAACACACGATGCAATGTGGTAGATCAGAGAAAACAGCACCATGTTGGTATGCAACATCTTATAGACTGGAAGAGATTACACTTCATGCCAGAAAAGTTAACATTATAATTGAACCACAGCAAAGATAACTTTTCCTAGGGACAAAAACAAAATTTCCCTTCTGTGCTGTTTAGGAAGTAGTGCATTTACAAAACAGAGTAAGCTTGGCATCTAATGTATTTTCCACAGGGTCTATGGAGAGACAAAATTTGTTTGCATATAGTCATTAATAGCTTTAGTTTCTTTTTCCTTTTTAAAATTAAAAACACATCTCCCAGAGGCAACAGTGAAGCCAAGGGAGGTCTTTATCAAAGAACTTGCATTCTGTTTCCATACAAGATAATGAACAGAGACAACTGCTATTCAAGGATTTAATACTAGGGTGGGAAGAAATAAAATAGCCATTCCCACAGCTTGGCAAATTTAGCTAAATCATCATTGTAACAGCCTTTGTTTTCCTCATGGCTAGATGTAGAGATAGTTGCCAAGAGGCACCAAAGGCTAAAACAAGTTCTTCCAGCTTTTCAGGAAAAGGAAGAGGCTCTTCAGTGTAGCAATCCTTTCTCCCAGAGGTCCAGGGAATCTGAAATTTGTCAGTTTTCAAGCTGGTGAGACAAACTGGATCCTACCTACCCTTGTAAACTCTGGGAAGACTTCCTTAAAGACTCTTATGGTGATTTCACCCCCTTCAGCTCAAGGGAAATGTCTGTTTGCCAAAAGATAGTTGCCACTATCATGAAGAATGTCCTGCACAAGACAACGGCAAATGGATTCCCCTAAGAATGGTGAGATTCTCCAGATGACAACTGTATTGATTGTATGAAGCCTAGAACATGGGTCAGCTAATCCCAGTCTGTGGGCTGCTTTTGTTGTTTTACAGCGCCAAGCCAAGAATGGTTTTTATCTTTGTACACAGTTTTATTTAAAGGTGAAGACACCATTCTTAGTTCAAAGTCACACAACAAGTGATGCAGGTGGTGGGTTATTTGCTGACTGCTGGTCCTAGAATATTATAGGGCCTCCTCAATGAGATCCACAGCTACTCAAAAGAGGCTGGTCTAATAATCTATACAGAAAATACTAAATGGATGCACAATGCCTACCATACAGACTTTGTACGACATGCAGTTGGATGGCTAGTCTATTGAATTAATATATCAGTATATACATCTGGGTCACCTGAGTCCACAAATGAAAAGGAAAGTAGGGACCAGATCTGTGATTTCACTGACAGAGAGAACTCTGAAATGAAGTAACTTCCTCTAACACTCCTGGCTGGCACCTTCTCTGCAGCTTATGGTCTTAGAGAACTGCCCGTCAGTAAACCATGACCGAAGGCCAAATCACTGTACACATTTGCACAACAAACGTAAAAACCATTCTCAGCTTTCAGGCAGTACAAAACCAGTTGGCAGGTGTTGGTTAGAGTTTGTTGACCTGTAGCCTGGAGCAATTCAAGGGCTTCCGTGACCTGCCTAGAGTAACGCAGCCAGTACGTGGCCTAGGCAGGACTTGAGCCCAGCTCTTCATCCAGTACATCATGCTGCCTCACATAACTAGTGCTTACAAAATGGGTGTCCTCTAAGGCTCTGTCCTTGGCCTTCTCTTCTCTATACTTTTTTCTTGGTGACTTTACCCACTCCCAAAAGTTCAGATCATCCCTGTGCAGATGACTCCCAAGTCTCTATGTCCAGCCCAATTTCCTCCCTTCGCATCAATCCCACATCTCTTCCTATTGGACACATACCCAGATGTCCTACCGGCACCTCCGACTCAGTAGGTCCCAAACTGAACTCATCACTTTTTTAAACCACGACCTCTTCCCAGCCTCCTATTTCTACTGATGCCACTGGCAACCTTATAGGCAACCAAGCTCTGAACTGTGGAAGTGATCTTCTGACTTTTACACCCTCACCTTCCACATCCTGTCATCTGCCAATTCTTATCAATTCTACTTTAATTAGTCAATCGCTGAATACTTAATAAGCACAAATAGGCCCAGCACCCAGGACACAGACATAAGTGAATGCCTCTCCCCTCAGGAAGCACACATTCTTTTTGCGGGGGGGGAGGGGGGAACGACGATGACAATATGTACATACATATGTAGTTACACACAGTTTGGAGGGAGCACGAGACCTGATCATAGCTACAGAGATCAGGAAAGGCATTCCCTTTCCTCCGTCTTTCCCATGAGTCCACATATCCCTCTTTACACAGCTGCCACTCTACATGGAGGCCCTCCTCCCTTCTTGTTCAGATGACTTCACAGAGCTTCCTAACTAGCCAGACTTTCACACAGTTGCCAAGACAGTATTGCTGGGGTGCCTAGGTGTGCCCATGTCATTCCTCTGCTCAAAACCCTTCCATTAGTACTCACCAGCCTAGAGGTTAAAGCACAAACTCCTTGGCCCAACGTGAAGATCTTCTGTCATCTGGCCGTAACCTACCTTTCCAGCCTTGTTTTACATTATTCCCCTTCATATTTTGGCCCAGTTGGACTTACAGTTTACCCCCAAACTTATTCTTTTCTCTTCAGCCTCTGCACATTCATAAGTCATCCTCCATAATCAAAACGCATTTTCTCCTCATCTCAGACTGCTGAAATTCTCTTCCTTCAAAGACTTACCTAGGTACTTTTTTTTAAATGAAGTTTTCCCTGGTTCAGACCTCCCCTCACATAAAATCCCAGCAAAAAAGTGTTCTCTCTTTTGCTCCAGCATATTCTAGTAACAGCAGCCAGCATTTATATGGTATCTTAAGATTTACAAAGCATTTTACATACATTATCTCATGTGATCCTCACAACCACCCTGTATTTCAGGGTGCTATTATTGTCCCCATTTTATAGAAGTAGAAACTGTACACACAGAGAGAGGTTAAGTGACTTGCCCATGGTCATACAGCTAAGTAAGCGTCTGAGGCAGGATCTGAACTCAAGTTTTCGTGATGCCAAATCCAACCCTTGATTCACTACAGCAGTCAGCTGCCTATTAGACTTCTTTGTGTTGATGTGCTATCTCCCTTTAGTAGATCAGAAGTTCCCTGAAAGTAAGAGCTGATTCATTTTTTATTTCTGTATTCTCTCTGTCTAGGATGGGGCTTTGCACACAGCATGTGCCTAATAACACTTTTTGACTGATTGGAATATATCACTGGATCAGCAAAATACACAAAACATTACCATACTGAGAAATTACTAAAGTCAAGTTACAAATTTCTGTCCTTTTTTGAATTCAATGAAGACTTTGCTTAGAAGTTTTATTTCCTCTCCTTGGAATTATCAAGGTTTAAATTAAAAATAACTAAGTGGGATCATATGATCACAGAGTTGGAGCTAGAATATAGCATCTGATCCAACACTTGGACTATATAAGGAAATAAGGCCCAGGAGTCCCTTACATTTTGTGAACCAAACTATGCTTGTTCCCTATGCTGCTGAGGTTAAATAACATACACTACGAAGGGCTTGCAGGCTTTGAAGGCCAAAGTCGTAAGGACTTCCCTGTTAAAAACAAGACCAGGATACTTACTGGATCTGTCAGCATAGCCCGGAAGTGAGAAGCCAGAGCCAGGAAAGCAAGACTGTTGAATACTACTCCATTGATTGCACTATAAATATAGTTTCGTGATGGAATCAGCATGACGAAGAGGACCACAAAATCTGCGTATATGACCAGGAGCCAGGTGATGACAGCACATGCAATACCACAGCCATCTCGGATAAACCACATGGTTCCCAGAGAACCCGGGCGAGGAGGAGGGATACACTTCTCTGGGTGGAGGTATTCAGGTTTCCTCTCAATATCTCTGAAGCGGTGGACCGGAGAAAACATCATAGGCTTCTATGTCCATACTTGCATCTGAAAGGGAAAAAAGAGAACATGAACCAAAGCTCCAGTTCTGGATCACCAACTGCCTGGTGGACATTTCAAACTGGATGTCCTGGAGGAATCTCAAATTCAATACTTGCAAAACAGAGCTCCCTATCTTTCTTCCCAAACCCACCCTTCTGAACATTCTCATTTCTCTCAAGGGCTCTACCAGCTTTCTGGTCATCTAGGTGTGTAACCCTGTCATCATCCTGAACTTCTCACTCTCCCTCACCACCACGATATATAAGCAGTTGCCATGTACCTCACAACATATATCCTGCATACATCCTTTTCTTTCCAATTACATGGCCTTCATCACCTCTTATATCCTCATTGGGCTTCCTCAAATCTCTGATCTATCTTCCACACAGCTACTAAAGGGATTTTCCTAAAGCACGAGTCTGATGACTATGACACTCTCCTGATCAAGAAGCTGCAGTTGCTCTAGGGTCAAACAAAAATTCCCTGGCTTAGCACTGCTCACATTTAAAGCCCTTTATAACCAGGCGCCAACCTAACTTACCACACTTTATTATGCTTTAATCCTCCTCATGCATACACTCTTCAATCCAGCCAAATGGCATGTTTGCAGTCCCTCACCTATGACATTTCATCTCACACTTCTGTTTCTGCATAGGCTGATCTGTCCAGTGGGCCTGACATTCATTTCTTCTTCATTTATGCATCTCAGAGCCTCTCATTTCCTTTGAAGCTCCATCTAAGAGCCACCTCCTGCATGACTCTGTTCGTTACTACCCATCAACCCTAGCTACTGATGTCTTTGCCTGAAAGTATTCTGCATCCATTTTTACATGCTATTTCCCATCACAGATTTAAGCTCCTTTTGGCAACAACTATTTCATTTCTGCCTTTCGATTCCCCTCACTTAGCTGAGTGCCTGTCACACAGTAGGCACTTAATAATCACTTAAAGATAAGCCATGTCATCTTATAAAGGGAATAAGGAAAGATCATCTTTTCAAAAGCGATTTAAGTGGGTCCATTTCTTACCAAGCGGAAAAAATAAGCCCAAATGCCTTTTCTACTAATGTAGTTATAATACCTCCATTTTACTCTTTAAAAGGCATCAGAACCTGTCACTTCCATAACTTGATTTTTATTGGCTACCTGTTATACAAAAGATGACTGTCATTTGTCAAAATATTTTGGAGATAACCTTGTTTCCCAGAGCTAAGGCCCAGCAGGCAGGCTGTGCCCTGAGCTTGGCATAACAAAAATCTTTTGGGCTCTGGATGATATCACCCAATGAAAAAGTATATTGCTTGGACCAGTACCAGGTGTTCACTGACAGACTTAGCTCCCCCCATTTCCCAGGGTCATCCATCACATGTTCACAATTCCTGTTCCTTGTAATTGCCAGGTAACTGCACTCCTGTTCCAGTCATAGAACTCTGATTCTTTATCCTGTGGAGTAATCATGACCCCCAAGACTTGAGACAATAACCGTTCCCATGGGACCCAAGAACGCCTGTATTGTCCCAAGAAATGCTAGCCACGAGAGAACTGTCTCAAGACCTAAGAATGATCGTGTTGTGTTCCCACCCCTTTCATGTATGTAAATGGCCCTAGAATCAGCAGCATTAAGCCCTCCTTACGAGGGGGCTTTCATTTGCAAATGCTATTTTACTCACTGTGAAATCAGTTAAACTTCTGTTTGTGTCCTGACTCTCCTGTCTCTAGACTGCTTTGTACAACTCCAGACACCCACAGATTAGAGGCCGGTTCTGGTCCGATAGACACATTCAAAACTAGATTAGAAAGGCAAGCTCTAATCCCTACAGGGAACTCACAGTTTTATCACACATGAACACAGCTTTGATAAGACACAGGCAGATGTGTAACAAACACAGAACAAAAAGGTTACATATTTTGATGTGTATGCATTATTTTCTCCTCCTTGACACATTAAGAGAGAAAGAGGCTCAGAAAGTTTGGCAGGAAAGAAAGGAGGATTTATCCAAAATGACCCTGTATTTATTTTGTAGCCATATAATATAGATTTACTTATGTACAATGTAAGCCCCTGGAGGGCACAGACTATTTCATTCTTGTCTTTGTATCACCAGCACCTAACAGTTGTCTCATACGTAACAGGTACTTAATAAATTCTTGTTGACTATTTGATTACCCAGAAGCACAGTTAATTTCAGTCATGACCTAAATTGTAAACACCACAGAGGAAAAGTGGCCACTTAGAACTACGGTAGAGTTCTTGAATGAGCTTTATAATTCAGGCCTCTAAATGGACCCAAATGGTAGCACTTCCAAGGATGAGAGTCCTTCTATGAGTCTAATAATAAAGCTGATGTTTATGGAGCTCTTTATGGTTACATTATCTTATTTGATTCAAACAAAGTGCCAGGCAAAGTGCCCTGAGCATAAGAGCATTTAATGTCTGTTGAACTTAATTGGGCAATCCTTCAGGGTAGTTAGTGCAAACATCCTCAGTCCCACTTGATGGTGAGGAAACAGGCTCACAGATGAGAAGGTGACTTGCCAAGACCAAACAGCTAGGGAAAGGCAGAGCTGCAACTCCAACTCAGGTCTTTGGATGCCAGGTCAAGTGTTCTTTTACTACAGCATAACATCTCTACTTTTCTCAGATGTATCTGGTCTTAGAAGGACAAAGTCTACTCAAAAGATTTGCTGAAAGAAGAAATAGACTTTTCCTCAATTAAAAAAAAAATTAAAGTTAGTAACACACTGCATCACCAGTCAGAATTCTTGAGTAGAAAGCTGGTGCACCACAAGTTTAATGTCAGTTGTGTGCATTTGTGGAAGAAATTGTCACTGCAGCATATGCCAGGGACATCATGATCATCTATCACAACATGCTGGGCTACAGATGAATCACCCCAAAACAGCACGGTCAATTTATGTTTTCCTACAGACCTTTCTTCTAGGGAAGTTTTATGGTTGTAATTTTAAAGACTGTGAAGTTCAAAGATTACATGACTCAAAATAAAAGCATTTCCCAGGTTACCCTGTTTGTCTCAGTTTCCTCCTCTGTAAAATAAGCTGGAGAAGGAAACAGCAAATCACTATAGCATCGTTGCCAGAAAAAAACCCAAATGGGATCATAGAGAGTCAGATACGACTAAACAACCAAAAAATGTTAACTATTTGATTACCCCGTAGCACAGTTAATTTCAGTCATGACCTAAATTGTAAACCCCACAGAGGAAAAGTGGCTACTCAGAACTAGGCAAAGTTCTTGAATGAGCCTTATAATTCAAGTCTATATGTGGATCCATATGATAGCACTTCCAAGGATGAGACTGTGGAAATGAGGGGAAAAAATACATTGGAAAACCCTACCCAGGCACAAGAAAAGAGAAAGACCAAAGCCCTATAGATTGACTGTAAGTTTTAATTGTGCATTGTAAACTTTCTTCAAGAAGAGAGTTGAAGAGTTGGACAAGGCAAGCAACAAGAAACAATCACAAAAAGTGAAAATGAATATATTTTGACAGATAATTGTTTACCAATCTTAGCTCTTCCTGGTGTGCTGTCTGTATAAAATCAGATCAATGATTTGCTAGATCTTTTGCCCAAAATCAGTATCAAATTAGAAGAATCAAAATGGAAAGATACGCTAGGCAAGTGAAGTAATTCAAAACTGACCTATTTAAATAAGTTGCTTCCATCTAAAAATGGGAAATGGATAAAAGATAGACTTCAATAAACTATCACCATTTCCTAAACATCTGAATCACTGTTACAATGATAAGTTAAAATATAGTAATGCCCCGAAAGGGTCACTGATATACATAGAGCATTTAAATTTTCATTTTTTTGGGTTTACTGATATGTGCATTGTCTCCAACTGTAGAAAGTAAGCTTTAATTTGTCCTGTACTAAATAAATAACCCAAGATTGTTGTGCTTTTCTAATTCATATCTACTTTACTGAAGCTCATCTTGGCTATCAGTTTTCACTATTTTCACTTTTCAAATTATCTCTCAGGAGACCCTTCTATCAAGCCTTCCATCCTACCCCCAACTGGCCGCTTCTTATATGCCATGCCCTGATAAACCAGATAAATGATTTGAATTTAAATTATTTTAAAGATACTTAATTTAAGTCATTAAGTAGTCTCTAAGTGAGGGCCTGAGATCCTTCTATACAGTAAGGTATATGAACTTTGTGGAAGCTGTTTCTACTTCTCAGAAGTCTTTTTCAGTGACTTCTGAATTTTTGGCAATATTTATGAGGGCTAAGGTTGCTTTGAAGTATGACCTCGAGATAATTTTACCATACTCAATTAAGTATAAATGTCTTCTATCCTAACTATGCAGAAAAGCTGTCAAAATTCTTCCAGAATCTTACAAAATGAATCAGAACCTGAATGGGTACTCCTGGCTTGAGTGTTTGGATTTAAGAGTATGCTTTCATGTACAAACATGTAATTGGAGGCAAAAACCCAAACTAGAGTAATTTAAAGATTAATATTACATGCCGAATTGAAAAGCAGCATAACTCATGTTTTAGTTTAAAAAAAGAATTCAAATTAAAACTAGACAACTGAGATGATTTTAAAAAAATACTTAAAGGTTACTTAGCTGAATATCTGAACAAACGAGTTTGGTAACAAAAGCTTACTTCTAACAAAAACACACCACCCTCCTCCACAATAATGGTTATTTTTAAAAGCAGGAATAATTTCTCTCCTCTACAATTTGAGAAATTCAGCACTGCACTGCAGTGCTACACACACCTAAATAAATAAATAGTCAATAGCTAGAAAGAGGACAGCTGGAAAGCAGAAAAGTCCAACGAAGCAGGTCACTCTATGTCACTGAACAGCAGAAGAATGAAGAGAATGCTGCATATATGCGTGCTATAAGCCAGTCACTCAAGGTCAAAGCGGGGAAAACACCATTTCTTCCTTAGTTTCCATCTCCTTCACCAACTCTACCCTCCTCCCCCTGGCATTGCCCATTTCTTTTTGTCATCTCCTCACTTCTT